TTGGTGCAGCATGGTCTGCAGGTGCGTCTCCAGCTCTTCAAGACTCAGAACAAAGGCTGGGGCATCCGCTGCCTGGATGATGTGGCCAAAGGCTCTTTTGTCTGCATTTATGCTGGTGAGGAAACAGAACAGACTTATAAGAATGGTTTTGTAAAGACAGAGGTGATGGAAAACAGGCATCTTCAAGTTTATTCATAATAGTAATAATAACAATGATGACTTGATTGTTTTCCTTTCTCCGTTTACCCCTTTTTGTTCCACTTTACCAGGTAAAATCTTGACAGACGACTTTGCCGATAAAGAAGGTCTGGAGATGGGCGACGAGTATTTTGCTAATCTGGACCATATAGAGAGTGTGGAGAACTTCAAGGAGGGCTATGAGAGCGAGGCTCACTGCTCGGACAGCGAGGGGAGCGGCGTGGATGTGTCGAAGATAAAAATCCAACCATCTGCTTTAGTATCAACTAACCCTGTGGGGCGACCGCCCAAGAAGGGTGAGTCCAAATCCAAAGGTGAGAGTTAAAGCTGGACTCCAATAGGACCTGGTGGCAGTGTTTGCGCTCTTGACCCGAGCTGACATCTTCCTCCTTCTCTACATGATGTTTCACATGCTTTTTTTTTTTTCTTCCTGCCACAGCCCGAAGCCCAAGCTCATCGGGGGACAGCAATGACGACGAAGACAAGGATTCGAAGAGTGAAGATGAGAGTGACAGCTCGGACGACACGTTTGTGAAGGAGAACTACTACACCTCCAGCTCTGTGTGGAGGAGTTACACCACACGTGGTCAGGTTAAGGGCAACAAGGAAGGTGAGCAGGTGGCACCTTTAGGAGATGTTTCTCAGAGGAAGACATTGCTAGTGTTCAGTTTTTATGAAAGAATAGTTTCTTATTCAAGAGTTAAATTATCAATAGCCACTCTCATCTGGTCTGTAAGGTAATAAAAGGGTCCAGCAAACAACCCCCCGTAGAACCACAACTTTTCTATACAAAGCCTCTAGCTTCATATGTCCAGTGCAGACATTGTGGTGATCTTCTTCATATTTCCAAAAATGTTGAATGATTGCTTTGAATAAATGCTGTGCACACATTAGACTTTTTTGTGGTCTTGGTGTGAAACTGCCTAGTTGTGTATATGTGTGTTTAAATGTGTAGCCTCATCTGACCCCACTGTTGGTGTAAGATGTTAAATTAAATGAAGGCAGCAGCTGAGCAGTAGTGATGAAAAGATCTCTTCAAACAGAATATTAAGGACAACAGTTCTGCTGAATGATTAAACATTTAAATCTCTTTAGAACTGAAAAAACATTTGCTGGTTAGAACTTTTAAAATACTAATAAACATTTAATTTTCAGTGAGAAAAAATAAGAAATTATAAAACTTTCTGCACTTTTAGTTGGTCTTCTCCAGTGTGTTTGAGATTTTGTGGATGAAATGGCTCATCAGTTACAACAACAATTTATAGGTTGATTCAGAATCAGAAATACTTTAATAATCCCAGGGGGGAAATTACTTGTTTTTTGCATCCCTAATCGAAAATCTGTCAAATTTGGAGACTTTGAGGGTTAGTTGGGGTTTTGTGAGTCTAGTGAGTGCAAGATTTCTGTTTTGTCTTTTCACACACCTCTTTCCTTCCTGCTCCAGGGAGTCAAGACAGTAAAGATGGATTGAGTGCGTCAGCCAAAGGAACCGATGATGAGAAGCCACCTTCCATGCCAGAGGAAACGGGGAAAAGCAAAGTGGCTTCCTGGCTTACCAGCCAGGGGCTGAAGAAGGTGAGTACAGCAGAGATAAAGTAAAAATAATATTTCATTGTACTGAGCTCTGTGTGCTCAGCCTTTTCAAAATAACTGCAGTGTCTCACACAGAAATAAAAATATCTTACTACTCATCAGAAGTCTCTTCTTAGATGTATTATCTTTTGTTAGAGAATCAACAAAGTAAAAATGTGGTTCTTATTTTAGGAGATTCTGCATTATGATTTTCTTGCATAATGACTGATGACTTCCTTTTCTGTTTTCCATCACAGGAATCCGGAGACAGCAAGAGGTGTGTTGGACTTTCTAAAATGTGCTTAGATTTTAAACATATTTCAATTAACAACAATTCTGCAGCTCTGTGATCAGTAATATCCCCTAAAGTTTGATTGCCGTTCAGATTCACTTTGTTTGTTTTTCTTGCAGTCAAGTGAAGTCAGAAACGGGGAAAAAGCAGGATGTGATGACTCTCTCTGACAGTGATGATGTTCAGACCATCAGCTCTGGATCTGACGACAACAAGGAGAAAGAGAAAGTCACACCAGGTTAGGAGAAGAGAGACTTGAATTTACATCACATTGATCGTGGTCTTTATGGGGTTTTGACTGTTTACATTTTTCATTCTTTTCTTTCTTGCTTGGTACTGTTGCTGCTGTTTGTGCCTCAGGTGTGACTAAGAAGCAGGTAGCAGTCAAATCTACTAGAGGCATCGCCCTGAAGTCCGGCCATGGGATGATGGTAAAAACAGGTCCTCCCGGAGGAGGTGGAGGGCCGGGAGGTCAGGGAGGAAAGACAGGACAGCAGGGACAGACTGGAGGAGGCGGGGAGAACGCTCCCAAAAACACCCGTCTGTTCTTTGATGGTGAAGAGTCCTGCTACATCATTGATGCCAAGTTGGAAGGAAACCTTGGACGTTACCTCAATGTAAGTGTGTAATCTACAGGATCTCAGTGTGTAACCATTTGATGCCATAAATTCTGTTTCTATGTATTTATCTTTGATTGTGTCCTCTCTGTATTACAGCACAGCTGTAGTCCGAACCTTTTCGTCCAGAATGTGTTTGTGGACACACACGACTTGCGGTTTCCCTGGGTGGCGTTCTTTGCCAGCAAGTGAGTTTTGAAACAAATTTTAAGTCACAGATCGTGTTTTGTTGGATATGAGCTTTTAACAATCTCAGAAGTGTTAAAATGGGTGTTCAGACCAGAACAGCAGACAAAGAGTTGCAATGGTATTGGGGGTATTAGTGACACAAGGAAATATGATCCAGAAAAGACGTTTATGGTGGCTGTAATTGATATTTTTATACTAAGAAAGTATTAAATAACAAATGTGGAATAACTCATGAACCTGCACACAATTATCACCTGAATCTACAGCTCCCCCTCAGCTTTACGGAGCTTTATAGTGAGTCTCAGCTCATTATTTTGCTGTGTGGACACAAAGAACTACTGTTTAAAAAAAAAGACTTAAAAAACCCACAGTACACTACCTGCCCAGAACCACATGGCAGACACTGTTAGCAACTCGCTGGTGAATGTATTGAAGCATTTAGCAGCTACAGATATTTCCCTCAGGAGTTGTGAGCAGTGAATGTTAGACTGTCAAGTGTTCAGAAACATGAAACTGCTGGTGTGTTCATATTTAAAAGTTTGCTATATCAGCTATATGTTCTTTTCTCAACTTGTTCCAGCGGCACCCAAAGAAATCAGCTTGGAATGGGAGAGATTTTTAATCTGCAGCCTCACCACTCGATGCCTCTAAATCCTACACATTGGTCCTATTAAGTTACAAAGTCATTTACCAGGAATGTGCTTTTATAAAGTTTGGCCGATACAAGTGCCAAATCACGTTGTATTGCCCTTTTCTGTTTTATTTATCAGACGCAGCGCCCTCGCTGAAATGAATGAGGGAGCTGTGTGTATATATTTTTCATGCAGTTGAGTTTTCTGTCTGAACGCAGGCTTTAAGAACACAGCACTGCTATGTTATCCTCAGGCTCACTACTGGGTTGTATAGAAATGTTTTATTCTCTACTGTTTTATTGTAAAAATAGGTGTTTGTTAATTGTTTCATTTAGTTTAGTTAAAAGATTTTTAGCCACTGACTATGTAGTTTGTTCACGTTATTTCCAAGATTACTCTTCAGAATGTACATCAGTAAGTGTACGTATCACTGTTTATAATGCTGTGAAGTTTAGTTAAATTCAAAACTAGGTCTAAATAAGCACTATTTTTAGGGTTGACAGGTCATCAGCTTTGTCTCTGTGGCTTTCACAGTCTGTCGGTGAGCTTCTTTTAATCAAGATGATTATAGCTGAGCTGACAACAGTGATCACAGTAACAGTGAGGGGAGCTCCACTGCTGTTTAGCTGTTTTCAGGGGAAGAATGAATGTAGTCATCAGTGCACTATATTAGCTTTACGTTTAACGTATTGATGAACTCTTGTCCTGTTCTCGTGCAGGCGGATCCGGGCCGGCACAGAGCTGACCTGGGACTACAACTATGAGGTGGGCAGTGTGGAGGGGAAGGTGCTGCTCTGCTGCTGCGGATCCACTGAGTGCAGAGGAAGACTGTTGTGATCTGCTGCAGCCAGCCTGGACTTTACTCCCTCTGCTGTATTTATAGGAAATGTAGAGTAGCTCTTACAACACTGTAATTTTGTGTTTTTGTTTTTTTTAAGTTGAATATGTTTATTACTGCTGTTTTGTTGCTTTTATTTTATATGACTGTGTTTCCGGATGTGTCTCATTTTATCCATCACAATTCTTTACACTTGAATAAAACGTAATTTTCTTTAATGAATCAAAGCTTCTGCTCTTTTGTGAAAACGCCATAAACACAAGGCGAAACTGTTAAATTATTATGGGAAAGAAGTTACTTTCACAAATGCATAAAAAAAACCAGTATTAATTAAATATTTAGCGTTTTGTATCCTAAGATGTTTGATTGAACTAAAACATCTGGAGTTACTTTGTATTATTTGTCAGAGCTCTTATTTTGAAAGTGTGGGATCATTGTTACATGTGGTAGATTTCAGCATGTAACTAATGGGACAAAGACCACACTTTATTTACAGCTGCTTTCAGTGGGACAGACCAATCAGCTTGTCCCAAACAACAATAAATAAACCGACATTCATCTCCCACCACACACTGAAGAAAATCCGCTCTGGAGTGGACTAATATCCGTAATTTATCGACCTTTACCAGCTATTTTATTGATTTTCTGAAAGATTTTCAGAAATGTTTTACTACCCGGCAGTTTTAAAGCGTCATACAGGATGTTTTTCTACAATCTGGTGAGTAAAATTGTTTTAAATCCAATTATATGTACAGTGAAATGACTTTAAAGTGCTATATGAACTGTATTATTAGCCGATTATTAACGGGGAATCTATCAAACGGTTGTGTTAGATTATTAATTATTATTAATAATTTAGACTTACATTTAGAGACTAAACTTCAACTCTGCTGGTTTTGTTAAGTGGACTTAAAACCTAATAAATAAAAATAAAAATCTTCCCAAATGCCTCCATTGTCGCTTAATAGTTACAAATACCTTAAATATAAACTCAAGCTCACTGAAATTGAATTGTATGCCCAACCTTCCTTTATTCTCAGGGGACAAGACATTTAAACTGCTTAACAATTAAGTGGACAAACACCTTAATAATTAATGTGAAGATTGACTGAAGTTGATAAGGTTTAAGGACGTTTAAAGGTATCAGCGTTACTGTAAAGATTTCCATAGTGAAAAGTCCAGCTGACGCACTATTTCTTCTTTTGTGAGTCTTTAATATCTTTAATAGATAAACTTAGACTCCGGATTGTCCACCATATAAACTGCACACAGCCCGGACTGCAGGTGCTTCAGAGGCAAAGATAACAAATATCTATAACATACACCCTGTAGCCAAAACAACTAGTCCAAACCTTTGAAGTCCTCTTTACAAAAGACTTTGAAGATGAGGTCAAAGGTTATATATATATATATATATATATATATACATTATGGCAAAAAGAGCAAAGAAAAGGCTTTTAGAAAGTGTATTTTTTTATTTTTCCAATTTAAAATGTGCTTTATTCACATTAAGTACAGTATTTTCAGGTCATACTGACCAAGGTTTACAGTGGAAATATAATAATTCACATTTACATCCACGTCTGTCCAGACTTTGAAGGAATTGTGTTTTTTGGCTGAATGGAAGTTGTCACTATATTGATGATACATGTATGATTCCAGGAACAGGAACACATGTACTTAATTACTATGTGAAGATGGATTTTTGTAGGGAAGAGCGATACTCAATGGCAGAATGGATGAAAGGATGAAAGCACTGTGCTAGTTATTGTTTGCTTATTGTGTCGTCCCAGTCAACGTGTCATCCTATTTTCATTACCCTGACTTATGCTTTCCTTGCGTCTACTCGTCCTGTGACTCAGAAATCGTTGAATGAAAGCTCTTCTCGTTCCTTAAATGCACCTTGAGGAGACAGAGGAGAGAGGAGGCTTCTGAAGGAAAGCGAGTGAGGAAAGGAAGCAAGGAGACACGTTGGCAAAATGAAAAGCACCCATGGTCCCAATCCCCTCTTCTGTTCCTGAGTTGTAATGTTGAATAATGGCCCAAAAAAAGAGTTTTTACAGGACATTACAATGTCACACTGAAGTTGCCCTTTGACCTTTTGGATAAAAAACGTCATCACTTCATTTTTGAATCCCATTAAACATTACCACATCAATTCAGGAAACCCCGGCGGGGAACTCTGGAATCGCCTTTTGGTAAGCAACCAGCCCTGAAATGGACAACGGAGTATAATAAATGATCCAATTGTAGAGAAACAATAGATGTGGGCCAATTTAAAACACGTCTTTGGCCATTAACCTAACAATTGATGAACAATATTTCACAATTAGTCAGACATGTGAATTAGTGACACTTTGGACCACGAAAGGTCAAAGGTCACTGTGGAGCTCAAAAATTACCTTGACAAACATGTTTTTTGTCCATAAACCCAAGAATT